AACATCAACAGATATAATTAATCAATTATCAACAATATTACCTAATGATGATGCTATGGCAGAATTATTAACATTAAAAATTGATTCAAATGGTAAATTTCGTTGGCCATTACTTTTTGTACTTATATCAGATTCAATTCGTAAAATAATTATTCAATTAATTAATGAAGATTATTTAGTATTACTTGATGTGCATATGAATTTAATTAATCAACAATTATCAAATACTTGGAAACGAACATTATTTAAAATGATTAAAATTTCAAATAATTTCTGGAATACATTAACATTAGATAATAAAAAAGAATATCTTGAAACATTTTTAAATCATTTTCCAAATTTAATATCAATTATATTAGACATTTCTAATGAAAATTTATCACAATTAAATCATCTTTTATCAATAACAAAAATAATTCTTCAATATATTGATTCATCATATGATTTTCATAATATTGAATTAATTTTTCAAGAAACAACACAATATTCAATAATAAAAAAACTTTTAATATTTCCACATTTACAAGCAGTAAGATCGAATATAGCATCATCAATATTTTGGTTAAAAAAATCAATTCTTAATGGTTTTATTGATGAACAAGCACGTTCTTATCAAATAACTGAATATTGTGATATTCTTGAACAACTTATTCAATTAGATGTTAATCAATGGAAATTATTTCAAATGATTCTAACATCATTATGGTCTCTTATTTGTATTATTTGTAAAAATGATACTAAAATATCTGATATTATTGATAAAATTCTTCATTATCTTCATATAATTGATATTGATAAACAATGGTTATTAATTCGTGATGCATATAAAGAATATTGTTTACAACCATCATGGTTAACAATGTTAAATTTAACAAATATAATTAATTGTGAAAATGAAATAAATAATCTCATTAAAAAAATTTCAACACATACAAATGAAGATGATATGGCATTGGATGTATTTAGACTTTGTCGTTGTTTATTAACAAATGATGAACAAATAAAACTTGATCAAAATCAAATCATTATTAATAATTTATCAATAAGTATTCAATCAAATATTGATTTATTAAAACAAATTGAAAATCTTGTTTCTGGTCTTATCAAAGAAAAAATTCATATATTTCTTCAATCAATAAAAATATTTCAAACAATTCCATTAACAAATATTAATATTCAATCATGTCCATTTGAAACACTTTTTCCATTATGGAAAGTTTTATTTGATGTTAATTGTAATTATTCATTAAAACTTTTTGAATCTATCTCATCTATATTAATATCATTTCATGCTCTTGTTGTATCAAAACCAATTCCATTAATTCAAAAAATATATACAACAAATATGGCAGCAGCACTTTGTACATTAGCAAATTCTCGATTAAATAATCATCAAATGGGAATATCAACTATTGATTTACCAAGTGTTCCATCAATAATGTCAATTATTCGAACAAATATTCTTCGTCGATGTTCATCACCTTGTACAACACCATCAACTAGATCAATTCGAGCGAATATAATGCCATGGAATAATATTCCACTAAAAAAATCATCAAAAACAATTATACCACGAACTTCACCTTATTCAAATATAACTTTAACAAAAATGCAAGTTTCAGTTGCTCATTATGTTAATTATGCACAACAAACATTAGTTCATTTTAAACAATCGGATTCTATTCAAATTATTATTGATGCAGCTGTTTCTTATCATCTGTTGGTTACACAATGGTATGATGCATTTATGACATATAATGTTCTTGTATGTCATTCATTAAATCCTAATCAAGAAAATCAAATTAATTATGGTTATCATATTATTCAATATGGCCTTAAATTACTTCGTGATCTTATTGTTAGTAAAATAATTCTTGAATCAACATTTACTAAAAAAGGTGTTCGTTTCCTATTTGATGATATATCACGTTTAGAAAATTGTCTTCGTTCATTATCATTAGAAAAATATCCTAATTTAAGAAATACACTTCGTTTACTTCATATTGATATAAGTCGATCGAAATTCGATTTTAAACCACCATCACGTTCACTTGCATTGAAAGGGAAATTAGTACGAAAATTTCAATTTGATATTGATTCACATGAAATTACAAAACCTTTACCAATATCTGAAATATCAAAAACAATTCCTTTACCACTAATAGTCGATCATGATAATATTAAATTATCAAAAACTGATTGGGAAAATGCTTTTCAACATGAAACTCGTAAACATAAACATGTTAATTTAACATCAACGAATATTATTAGACATAGATTAACAGATAAACGTAATCGAGATGTTATAAACGATGTTCAAACTCGTGTACAAAGATTAGCTAATGATATTTTAAATCAATATACAAATATGAATGATTTAACTGAAATCGTTCGAAATAATACGACAATTGGAGATGATATTGAATCGATGTATCCAAGTTCAATATCAGGAAAAGATTTTGAATTACAATTGAATCTTATGCGTGATCATTTAAAAAATGATAATACAATTATTAAAATGTATAAAACAGCCGATCAAAAAGTTGCTTCGATTGTACCTGATGGTAAACTTGATAATCGACCAGCACTTCAATTAACAACTGACCGTGAACGATGGACATATCAAATGTTAATTGAAACACCAACTATTACTCGCATGATTGATTTAATTGTTCGAGGATTTCGTTCAAATTGGGAACAATTACATATTCGAAGTGATCCAAATATTCAACATGAAATTCGTTGGTGTATTATGATTGATAATTCAGGTTCAATGAGTATTCATCGTAATGCTATTTATGAAAGTTTAGTTGTATTAATGGAATTATTAAGAAAACTTGAAAGTAAATTTGCTGTTGCTCGTTTTGGTGGACGTACAAATCAAAAAATTTTAAAAAATCTTGATGATCTTTTTACTAATCAAGATGGTCAATATATATTAGAAGCATTAACATTTGATGAAGGTACATATCCAGCGACAGGACTTGCACGTGTTGCTGATCGAGTATTTCCAGAAAAAAAAACTAAAACAACAACAACAGATGTTAATATTCATCAATGTATTATTATGATAACAGATGGTTTAACACAAGAACGTGAAAATACAACATATACAGGAACAATGGCTAAATATAATATCGATCTTGGAATTTTATTTATCGAAACAGATAGACAAGAAACAAGTGAAGTACTTCTTGCTTGTTTAGAAAAAGTACAAAATGTTGTTATTAAATCAAATCGTATGGCCGAATCACCACATTTAATTCCAATATTATTACATAAAATGATTGGTCAATGTTTGAAAAAATCAAATTTTGAAACAGAATCAAACATTGCACCACCAACTATACATATTGAAGTGCCGAAATACCAAGAAGCTAATTCAATAGTTAATAAACCATCGAATGAGAAGCTTAAATATTCAAGTGTTAATCCCAGTTCATATATGATTAGTAAACCTACAACAAACATTCCCGGATTATCTCAGGTTAATTATTTTAATTCTACTAGAAAATATTTTGTTTTTTCGAAAACTTAGATATATTTTGTCAAGGAATAATACTGAATATTAATTGAGATTAAAGTAATTATAGGCTTCTTCTTATCTATTAAAGACATTAACAACAAAAGTATGACTGCAGCTCAGATCATAGTAACCAGTACATGAATATTCAGAATCAATTTATACAAGGGAGCAGCGTTTTCGATTGTTTCTGACAGTGGAGGGAGGGGGAGCTGAAAATTCGGCAGAAAGTCAACTTTTTAATAGCTTCCAGCTCAACAGAAAGAAAATTTTTTCAAAAGTAACAAAGAGATTATATTGTTCAAAAACAAAAAGTGCTTTCGAACGTATCTAAATTTCAACAAATGAAAAAGACATTTTTCAGTTAATCATCGTCGCTGCTGTATTGTTCTTCTTCACGAATCACATTCAAACTAGAAGATAAACAAAGATTTGCAATATTTCAATCTCCCTGTACTAAATTAGCCACCAAACAAGTTTTTCAGATTATTGGATAGAATATCGTTGGATGGCGTACGTCATAGGCCAAGATAAAAGATCAAACGGCTATGGAAGCTTATACTTTTAACGAAAGTCAATATTTGATGTTATTTGCTCTCCCGAAGGTCTTTACTTGTAAAACAATGAAGCAGCGAAACACACATCAGTTCCTCAGAAAAGATGTTATATCATCTATGCAAATTTAGATGATAACATCACGAAAAAATATTCTCGCACAATTCTAAGACATATACAACTGAAGTCATAAACCTTAAATAAATACCTTTAGCAGAAAATTAAGTTGAAATCTTTCTGTGCAAGAAATCAACGCAACAACAAACTTTCTGCAAGATTCTCACAGGAAGAATCTACCTAATGTTATCTGTCTTTTGGGACAGAAAGCGAAACAATATGGTTGAGCATTTGCTTAGCCTTAGCTAACGAATTAGTAGTTGTGTTTAAGGAAAAAAAAGATGCGAAATCTATTCTTTAAATTTTCAATACTTATGACAAGATCAGAGAAAATTCTCTTGAGCAAAAAAGATGCAGAAATATAGTGGAAAAATTTTGGCAGAAAGGGTTTGAAATTCGGAAGGAAGCCCTCCTCCCTCATAATCGATATGCCTGCAAAGGAGTAATCACAACACTTTAGTACCCAAAATTCTCAATCATTTTTAAGAATTAAATGCAATTAGTATTTGTAATAGAAATTTTAAATAATGATTAGAACGAGGTTATAGTAAATAATTTAAAAAAAAGGTACAAAGAGAAATGTCAACCTTCCGTTTAGCAAAACAACATTTATATCATTATCGAATTAGATTGTTTTATTAAAGCGGAAGAATAATATTTTTTCATCTTGTTGTTTTTTACACCATGATAGAATTTTTAGTAAAAATCTCATGTACAAAAATAGTATTTTAAATTTCTATTATAGACGATAATTGTATATAAGAACTTACTAGAGTCTCAGTATCTATTCAACACTGTTAGGTAATGATATATATATATATTCCTTGTTCGATGTCCATTGGCGTTCTCTTTCTTTTGTATATCAATATGTCATTCTCTATTGTTGGGTGTCTAGATTATTTCATTCGTTTACTTCATTCGGGTTTTTCTTCATTATGTCTATATAACAGTTGTCATGAGATTTTGAAGGTGTATATATAGAGTAGAGAAGAAGAAAACTAAAGATTAAACTTAACAAGTACCTACTAGCATTTTTCCATTATTCTTAAAGACGTTAGTATCTTTCAACAATTTTTAATGATGCAGTGATGTAATTCATTCTTTAGCATGATCATTATCATTGAAAAACTTCAATTTTCTCTTCTTTTTAATAAAATTTCTAAGCTTAAATTCAGTTGAAATAACAAAAGATGTTGGAAAGTACATATATGTGAAGTTCAGATGTTAGCCGCATAGGAACTGTGCTAATAAGTTTTTTTTTTCTTTTATTCTATAATTAAGCATTGATTATTGTTTGTTTTAGGTTCATAAAAAATTGACAGAATATCTTTCACGTGAAACTGATTATACAGACTGTGTTTCACATGCTGTTAATACACTTCGTCTTTATTATCAATCACTAAAAACAAAATTAAAAATATTAGATGCTGAAAAAACCTGGTTTGATAATGAACATCGATTTTCAGCTTTAATCGATGATGTATCAAAAGTTCTTGGTGAACTTGTTTTTCCATTTAATAGATTTACACGACGTCGAGGAGCACTACGAGGTTCGTCACTTTATATGCCCGGTGTTATTAAAGCAATAACAAGTGATTGGAATTATAAAAAAATTTTTGGTGCTAAACTTGCCGGTGGTAAACGTAATCATACTGTATGTCTTGTAATTGATGTTTCAACATCAATGTTTGGAACATTAAGTATTGGTACTCTTGATGGAATTGTTGTGTTAATTTGTGCATTAAGAAAAATTGGAATTGATAATTTTTCAATAATAGTTTTTGGTCGAAATGTTCGATTAATAAAAACAAATGAACAAGGATGGGATGCATTAACAATTTATACATTAATGGAAGAACTTCGATTTGATCTTGATGATGGAACAAAAGATGCTGATGGAATTGAAGCTGCTATTGATCTTCTTGGTCAATATTCAATACGAGGTGAAAAGAAAATATTTATTCTTACTGATGGTTATAGTAGTTGTGGAAATAAATTAGCTTTGGTTCAACAACGTGCTGAACAAAATGGAATTGATCTTATTGCTATGGCTATTGGAATTGATAAAACAAATTTAGAATCTGTTTATAAAAGATATCTTCAATGTGCAACAATTAATGGTCTACCGAAAGCTTTACGAGCTTTATTTGAACATGAAACTCGAGTTATTTCACTTGAATGGTCATCAAAGAATTCTGATCAAGATAATAAAATCGATCGAAATTTATTAGAAGATCTTTTTGATGAAATTAAATCGAAAAAAATTTTTGAATCAATGATTAATGAATTAGCCGGTCAACGTCATATTAATTTGATTCATATTGATTCACCATCTCCAGATATGATTATGGATATATGTTTTTGTCTTGATTGTACAGGCAGTATGTCTCGTTGGCTTGATGTTGTTAAAAGTCAAATGAGTAAAATCATTTCAGATATTCAAATTGCAATTACAAATAAATATAGATTACTTAAGTTACAGATGCGTTTTGCTGTTGTTGCCTATCGAGATGTTGGAGATGATCCACAATTTTCTATTTGTGATTTCACAGATAAAATTGAAGAATTCACTCGATTTGTTAATAATTTAAAAGCAATGGGTGGTGATGATTTACCTGAAGATGTGCTCGGTGCTCTTCGTACATGTTTAGCATTACCAAGTTGGAAAGCAAAAAATGCTCGTTTTATTGTTTTAATTACAGATGCACCAGGTCATGGAGAATTGAATGATCAATTTACTGATAGATTTCCACAGGTAAAAAATAAAAAAAATTATTATTTTGTTTATTATATCGATTTGAATAATAATATGAAATATATATATTTTATTAATATATCTATATGAGAGTTATTTTTCAAAAAAATTCTATTGATTGTTTTTTCTTTTCTATAGGGAGTTGGTACACGTACATTTGAAGAAATTTGTGATCGTCTTCTTACAAAAACTGTTGAAACTGATTTGATATTCTGTTGTATTAAAAAAGATGCTACAAAGAAAATGACTGAAGCTTTTTATAATTATTATCAAAAGAAAAAAGAACAAACAGATAAAACATTTACTGTTGTATATCCATTTACAGATGACGAACCAGGAATACATTCATATCATTTTATTCTTTTACTCGATGGATCAAGTACAATGAGTTATCATTGGAATGTGTTAGAAAAAGCTTATGTAGAATTTTTGGAAAGACGTAAAAGAAATCAAGGTGTGGATGATATTTTTAGTGTCGTTCAATTTAGTAGTAAAGCAGAAATTGTTTATCAACGAAAACAGCTTTCTGATGCTCCTCGTACAATTCAACAATTACATGGTGGTACAAATTATTATATTGCTTTAGAAGAAGCAGATAAAGTTATTAAAGCTGATTCAACAAAATCATCAGTTGTGATGATTTTCATGTCAGATGGAATAGATTTATCAAATAAAAATCCAACAGCACTCGTAGCTCATCTCAAAAGCAAATACGAAAAAAATCACAGATTTATTTGTCATACTGTTGCTTTTGGTGATGAACTTGTTGGAAAAGATGGAAAAACTGATTTATTAAAAGCTATGGCAGAAGCTGGAGGTGGTCAACTTTATACAGCCTTGAATGATAATCAGTTAATAAATGCTTTTGGTACGATCGCTACAAATAATAAGGCGACAGAGACACTTATTAAACTTTTCTCAGACACTCTTACTGAGACAATGAGAGAGCAAATCATGCTTGACTTTCTTTAAATTCATTTCTTTTTTTTTATATTGCATGATGAAATAAATAACTAAAATATGTGAGTGAAAAATTTTCTATTGATTTTCTATTGAGTAATTTTGATGCAAATTGTTATTATTAGATTAAAGAAAGTTGTATTTTATAAATACGTGTTAGACAAAAAAGAATAAATAATGAATATATTGGTTTATATGTGTAAGAAGTTTTTTTAAACTTTTAATATTCAAATGAAAATGAAGAATTTTTAAACAATCAAAATACGAAAATTCGCATCGGTTTTATGAAAATGAAATAAAACTTTCAAAACGATATGGTATAGTATTCTGTCAACAAATTCAAATTTACTTCTAGTCAAAACTC